CCAATTAACAGAAGTTTGTTAGTTTTGTTTGTTAGTACTGGGTACTGAACAGGGATGTTCTATCACTGGGCTATATTCCTAGCACTTTTTGGTTTTTGTTTTATTTATTTTTTCTTGGTTATATGGAATATATGTTGACATATTTAGTACAAGTATATTAAAAAAATATATCCTGAATCAACATTTTAGAATTTCCTCCCGAAAGTTTACCAGATCAGCTATTCTAAACATTTTTGCAGAATCACTGAAGGTAGTTAGCATCATTCCTCTTCAAGACTGTATTTTGACAGCACTACAATTGCATACAGTAATGTAATACTTTCTTTATTTTATTTGAGGATCTCCCTAAATTGTCCAGGCTGGTCTTGAACTTTTGATAGTCCTGCTTCAGTCTCCTGAGTTGCTGGGATTACAGGTATGCGTCCCTGCACCTAGCAAAAAAAGGAGTTTAAAGAGAAGACACCAAATATTATCTTCAGCTTAACGACACTGGATACTTAAAAACATAAGCAAGAAGATTAAAAAGGAAAATATCTGTTAAAAAAAAAAGAATTCTATGGGACTAAAAGTATGATTTCTGCTTTTAAAATGTCCCTACTAAGCTGGCAAGTGGACAAATATAAAAGAAAAATAGAGGAAAAAACAAGACACTGGGTTCAATAAGAGCACAGAAAAAGATATGGAAAAAAGCAGAGCTAAATTTAAAAGAAAACAAGATAAACACATACACACAGGCCTTCAAATTAAGGACCCATTTTTAAAAGCCAGGATGCAGGATAGAATATAAGCCTAGATATCGTTTAATCATCCTATGTACAAAAAAAAAATCTCAAAACTGACAACATTTATTATTTTAGCTCTGAACACCAAAGAATATGAATGTTAAAACAACCCTACAATTATTATTTAGCCTGCAGCCATTTCCTAAATGCAAAAAAAAAAAAAAAAAAAACTAAGATAAAGAAAAATTCTTAAAAGCTTTCAGGAAGTGGGGAAAGGCAACTACAAGCAAAACTACTAATTAGCACTGGATGCTACAAGACAATGAAACAGAAAATACCAAAATGATACTTTCCAGGCACTGACGTAAAATGTTAAAGTAGCATTCTATACCCAGCCCAACTATCAATCAAGCATGAACCTAGTTACTTTCAGACAAAAAGGACTCAGAAAGTTTTATTTCCTGCCATTCCTTCTGAATTAAGTTACTTCAGGATGTTGTCCAAAGAAAAATAAAGAAATCAAGTAAAAGGAAAATATGTTACCCAGGATGACACTGACTTTAAATCATGTAAATTCCAGGGTATCAATGCATAAGATACCTCAGAACAGAACATGCAAGGAAAAGTAGATTCATATATTATGATTAGATTTCTTCAAAAAGTCTGCATATATGCTGAAGCAAAAAAATTTTTTACAAGAAATGACATGGTTCAAATAGCTATCTAAAATGTGGCATACTGTAATTTGTTTTATAAAAGAGAATATTATGCCTGATCCTGACACTACGAAAATACACACAGTAGCACACCTAAGAAAAAGAGTTCTAGAACACTGCTTGGTAACTCAGAGATGATGATGATGATAATATGATGATGGTGATCTTAAGATGATATTGTTTAATCAGGGTATTAAACCCAGGGGCAGTTTACCACTGAACTTCATCCCCAGTCCTTAATATTTTTTGAAATAGGGTCTCACTGGGCTGGGGATGTGGCTCAAGCAGTAGTGTGCTCACCTGGCATGCGTGCGGCCCGGGTTCGATCCTCAGCACCACATACAAACAAAGATGTTGTGCCCGCCGAAAAGCTAAAAAATTAATATTAAAAAAAATTCTCTCTCTCTCCCTCTCTCTTAAAAAAAAAAAAAAGAAAGAAAGAAAGAAAGAAATAGGGTCTCACTAAATTGCTGAGGCTGGCTTTGAACTTGGGATCCTCTTGCCTCAGCCTCCTGAGTTGCTGGGATTACAGGCCAATGCCACCACACCCAGCCCCCTCAGAGAGTATTTTCAATTGTCAACCTTTCACAGATCTTCCTTCACCTCACTATTCCTTCAACCCGCTTTTTCATTTCCCTAGCATGTTATTACTCTAGCATTATATACATTATATTGTTGTGTAGTCAACTTTTCCTCGATATGAACAAAATACCAGACAAAAACAATTCAAAGGTGGAAGTTTATTTTGGGCTCAAGATTTCAGAGTTCCAAAGTCCACCAACTCCACTGCTCTGGACCAGAGATGAGGCAGAGCATCATGGCAGAGGTGCATGGTGAGTGAAGCTGCTAACCTTATCGTGGCCAGGAAATAGAGTGGGAAGAGTCAGGGACAAAACAAATAATCCCCAAGGAATGCCCCCAGTTGCTGACTTCCTCTAGCCATAACCCATCCATCTAAAGTTACCACCCAATAATCCATTCATGTTATTATCCATCAAATGGATAAATCCATTCATTAGATAACAACTATCATAATCTAATTATCTCATTTCTTGCAATAAGACAGCTTTTGAGGCACACACCATATCACGTTGATTCTAATACACACATTCTTCTCACTTCTTAATCCTGCTGAAATCAGCATGTATTTTCTAATCCCTAACATTTACAACTATTGTCAGCCAGGTGGCAGCCTTGTCACTGTAAAAAATCTTCAATGGATATTTTACAGAAAGATTATAAAAGAACCAGCATCAAAATGCCTCAGATCAGACAAGACAATTTTGCTTACTGGATATCACTCCCACTGCATTCAACAATGTTAAGATATTTGCTAATTTTTAAAAATCTCTATCCTCCACATATAAAACAGTGCCTAGTACATGAGATATCTGATCTGTGTTGTAATCTAACATTTCTGAAATTGGGATAGATGCAACAAAATGGATTCCACACAGTTGGCCCTGATTTTTTTTTTCATTTTTAGTGGCACATATTAATAATGGCAAGTCTTAAAATCAATGACATGTAAGATTTGAATAAATTCAGTATCAAAAAAAATTGGAGGAAGATGAAGAGCGAATTTGATCCTTCATTTCAAAAATTGATCCCAAGAGTTAGTTTTATTTATGTTTTGTTTTTGATTTACTAAGAATTATTTTTTTCTTTCAGTTAGGAACTAAATACCCAAAGATATAAAAATAAAAATATAAACTGCCTCCTCAAAGGCGGCAGTAAAAGCCAGCAGGCCCAGCTACTCAGAAGGCTGAGGCATGAGTATCAGAGCCCAGGAGTTCAAGAGCCCAACCTTGGCAACACAATGACACCCTAAACAGGGGAGTAGGGTTTCACTATGGTCAGTCTGCAGAATTTTATTTTTATCACAAACACAAAACTTTTTTTATTTACTGTTTTAAAACACTTAATGAGGGCTGGGGATGTGGCTCAAGCGGTAGCGCGCTCGCCTGGCATGCGTGCGGCCCGTGTTCGATCCTCAGCACCACATACAAAGATGTTGTGTCCGCCAAAAACTAAAAAATAATTATTAAAAAAAAAATTCTTTAAAAAACACTTAATGAGAGACATAAAAATATATAGAAACTGAGACAGGAAAATTCAGAGAAACAAAGAAATTCAAGGATAAACAGTCAAAAAGAAATTTCTCAACTGACAGTGAGGATGCAGAGACCATTAACTAGACTCAAATTTAAAAAATCTTTAAAGTGTGACATCAGCACTTGTTGCCTACTGATGACATTTTTTTGCTTATCAGAAAAATCAAGGAAAGCTAGTTACTGTGGAGCACGCCTGTAATCCAAGTGACTCCGGAGACTGAGGCAGGATGATAGCAAGTTGGGAGACCAACTTGCAAGTTCTCCTGGAGAACTTAACAAGACCCTACCTCAAAATAAAAAATAAAAAGGATGAGAGTGTAGTTCAGTAGCAAAGCGCCCCCGGGTTCAATTCCCAGTTCGGAGGAAGGGGGGAATTAGAAGTCAGCAAAGGTGTTGTGAGTGTATCTGTGAAAACTCAGACCACCTTAGATGAAATAATTACAAGCTCTCCCTCACTGAAACAACATTTTTACACAGCACCCCTTCACCTGCCCTGGCCTACTGACAGCCACAGTGACAGTGGAGTACGGTAGGGAATCCTAGCATAGTCTCTAAGGGAAAAACCAACTACATCGTGAGGAGTCAAAATCTGGGGGGAAAGAATTGCTGCCTGACCAGTGAGCGATCCGCCACTCGCAAAAGGCCGTGGAATACAAAAGCCCAGCTTAAAGAATCTCGAGTTCACAAGCACCCAAGAGCCCACAACTCTCCCCGCTGAAAGGCAGGACATTTTTCCCCAGAGAAAGCTAACATGGTAGTAAAACCAACTAGCCCAAGACTAGCAGTAGGCGGGCCAATCAGACCCCGCCCTGAATGTCCAAGGAAGGCACTGAGCGCTAGCAAAAATGTCACTGGGCCAAGACTGAGCGCGCCAAAGCAGGACCCACCCCCGGGAGACGCGGACGCTCCGGGCGGGTCCGGGTCCCTCCCCTTCCTCCTCCCGCGCACAGCTCATTCATTCTCGTAGCGGGCAGCAAGGACTCCGTGGCCGGCTATCCCAGCCTTGCAAACCCACCAGACGCTTTGTCTGGCGCTGGCCGGAAACCGGGGCGCGCACTCGAGCGCGCGCCCCTGCGCCAGCTCCCCCCACTGGGACTACCGGGGCCACCGTGCAGCATGAAGAGCAGTCTGGATCCCTGGGCCTTAGGTTTGGGGTTCGAGGCCGCGCACTACTCATCGGCAGCCCCAAGCACTGACTTCGCCCGACCATGCTGGGTACCCACGTCCTGGAAACAAGCATCACTGCTCCACCATCACTATAACTCGAGCTTCCTCCACGACCCTGTTCCTCCGTAAAACACAAGAATAGTTCTTTCCGGAGGCAGAGACCAGTCCCTTCCCAAGGGCGTGGGCACTTGGCCTCGGCTATCCCTACCCGGGGTGGACCCCGTAGGCGCAACCGCCCCTCCCAGCGCAACTAACGCGGCCCCCAGCGAGCAAACACTCACTTGAGGAGCAGCTGGTCGTGCTCGGCCTTGAACTTGCCCAGCTCAATCTGAAGCTTGGCGCGCTCTCGGGCCGTGTCGTCTAGCGCGCGTCGCGCGTCAGCCAGCTCGGTTTCGTACAGCGCCTTGAGTCCGGTGAGCTCGCGGCCGCGCACCTCCTCGCGCTCCGTCACCTGCAGCTGTAGCGCGCTGTTTTCTGTTTCCAGACTGCGCACCTTGTCGATGTACACGGCCAGTCGGTCATTGAGCTCGCGGAGCTCCTCCTTCTCCTGCAGCCGCGACAGCCGCGTGGGACTCAGCGGCGTGCTGGGGGCGCCGGCGCGGCTGCCACTCCGCGGCGGCACGGGGGTCGCGGTCGCCATGGCGAGCGGCGAGGAGAGCACAGCGATGAGGCAGCGGGCAGCACCGGCACAAGAAGAGGCTGCAGCGGCGAAGCCGGGACAGAAAGCCCAAACTGGCGAACCGCACTCGCGTACAGAGATCGGCGTGGGGAGGGAGAAGCACCTGGGATGGCGGCAGCGGGTTACAGCACAAAGGGCAAAGGGGAAGCGCTACGAATCAATCGATCGTAAAATGTCCTTTGTAAGAAAACACGCACACACGCACACGCGGGAAGGAGGGAGGGGAGGCTGACCGGGAGACCGAGCAGGTCCGCGCAGCCGCCGCTGAGTCTCCCGCCCGCAGCACTTTGTTTCTTCTCTGGCTGCGCGGAGAGGCGGGCGGGGGGGAAGGAGGGCAGCGAGGGGCGGGCGGCCGGCAAGCTGCGGAGGGGGGCGGAGGTGGCGCGGGCAGGGACGCCGTACTCCCCAACATGGCGGCTCGCGCACGTGACCGCCGCCGGCCAATGGGGAACGGGAAGCGCGCTCCTGGGGCTCGGGGGCCGGGCCTGTGAATTCAAAATCGGGCCCTGGGGCAACCGTCGACCTGAAGCGCGAAGTTGGGCGTGGCCGGGACTGCACTGAGAGAGGAGGGGAGGGGCGCCCGGGACTGTCCGCCCCCGGGCTCAGGGCCTACCGCGCGCCGGGCCTCTCCCCATCCCCTGTGGACCCCTGGAGGGGCTGGCCTTGCGAATGGCGGGAAAGAGCCGGAGATTTCCGGGGCGGGTTCGTGCAGCCGCCCACGCCCCGCGGTTCAGGGAAATTCAAATGTAAACGTCCGTAACTACCACGGACGTGGCGTGGTGGACCGCGGGCGTTGTAATCTTACCCGCGCCCCACAGGAGGGAAATGGCCGGAGGCTCCGCTGCCTTAGAGTTATGTAAGGGGCGCTTTCTTCCGAGGTTCTCTGCCGCTTGCGGGCCAAATGCAAGCCTATAAGATGGAAAACTATCGAAATACCTCCTCCCATGAAACTTGAGATGTGTGTGTTTCAAAGCGACTGATTATTTATCACAGAAAAAAACAGCAACCCTGATTTTAAATCACTTGTTACTAATGCTGGTGGGCCGTCCCTGATCTACTTCTAACAAGGTTTGTACAAAAAAAAAAAAGCTCGCAGATGATTACCTGCATGACTTTAGTAAACACGCACAAGTTGTTTTAGTGATCCATTTAAGGAGAATACCTAAAAAACCTGAACTTGGGAAAATCGAAATGACTTTTTGCTTTAAAGGGCATGCGATATATTCTTAGCAGCTAGTTCTAGTACAAAGTCTATTAACCTTTTTGAAATATTTTAACTTAGGTTAGCGTATATTGGAACTATGCACCCTGGCTTTTCGTGGAACATTCATCCTCATAACCCTCCCTATGGTATGAGACCTGGATTGTTTTTATTTGAAAAATCCATACATTTAAATATTATTAACTATTCAGCAGGCAACAGGACTTCATTTGAATTCAGTGTTTTAATTAACTCCAAAATCTGGCTGTAACTTAGATGACCACATCACATCTATGGAGTAAGTACAGCAAGTTACCTTAATAATGGCAGAACTGCACACCAGGGTGTTGTCCTGTATATAGAATTAGTGAAGGGTATCAGACTACATATTCCATCGTTGGTAAATTTCTCAACTCTGAATGATACTCTTTTTATTAATAGTTTTATCCCTGTTACCTAAACTACCTAAACTATCTCATTCCTTTACCTCCTTGAAAGGTAGAGTTGGAAAGCTTAGATTTTAAAGTTGATGTTAGACTTTTTTTTTCCTCCAGTACTGGAGCTTTGCAAATAGCTTGGCCAGCACTGTTCCATTTACTTACATCCCCAGCTTTTTTTTTTTTTTTTGTCTTTAGATAAGTTTCATTAAATTGCCCGGGCTGACCTTAAACTTGAAATTGGCCTTGCCATTGCCCTTCCTAGTAGCTAGGATTACTTGTGGGTGCCACTGTGCCCAATTGGTGTTAGGCATTTGTAAATATTTCAGTAATTAGATAAATTTTTAAAAAGTGACCTTAAAAATCTAAATTACTAATCAGGCATGGTGGCACACGTTTAATTCTAGTGACTGGAAAGCTGAGGCAAAAAGATCACAAGTTCAAGGCCAACCTCAGCAATTTAGCAAGGCCCTAAGAAACTTAGCAAGACCCTGTCTCAAAAAATAAAAGGGTTGGGGATGTGGCTTAGTGTTTAAGCACCCCTGGGCTTAATCCCCCATACCAAAGGAAAAAAGAATCAATTACTAATGAAGAAAGGAGGCCTAAAGAAAGAAAGTACTCAGTCCAAAGTTGTGGACTCAGGATTGGCTAGATTGAGGCCCTTGCCACTCTCACTAGATTGAGGTCCTTGCCATTCTGATGGTATGGTCAATCCAGTCATTGATAATATGTTTTACATTCTTGGGCTGGGGATGTGGCTCAAGTGGTAGCACGCTTGTCTGGCATGCGTGCGGCCCGGGTTCAATCCTCAGCACCACATACCAACAAAGATGTTGTGTCTGCCAATAATTAAAAAAATAAATAAATAAATAAATATGTTTTACATTCTTTACTCCCCTTTATTTTGATTTTAAAATTATTTTCTGTCCATTTGACTGTACGTGAATTGATTTTGGCTATGATCTATCCTGCTCACAATACCTTGTAGTTATGGCTGGATGGAAGTTCCTTAACCTCAGATTCTTTTAGGAGATACATTCTGTTACCTGAAACCAACATGTATATGATTCAAAGACTTGAGGGTTTGCTACTGGTAACTGTAAGTTTGAGGAAATTATCTCATGGTTTTGTCATAGGAAAATGCAAATGATTCCTACCTTGTAGAGAAGATGTATAGATCAAATTAAACATTACATGTAATGGGTTGGACATATAATATGTCATGGCTAAGTAGTAACTCTAATGAACGTGCTGTCATTAACATAGACCAAGTATGTTTGTGTCTTTCTGTGATGTTAGAATTTATTCAATAACAATAAATTCACGTACTATAACACTTTCATCAGTGGCAGGTCAATAAATACTGTGGGTCACCCGGTAGTCATAAACCAGGTAATCATAGGTTCTTTTATTTCAATCTTAATTTCTAATATATATAACATTCAAGTCACAGAAGTGTGTGTGTATGTGTGTGTGTGTGTGTGTGTGTTACTGAAAGGCTAAGAAAGGTTTAAGGCAACTACAGGAGTTCAGAAGACTGAACTGACAGCAAAGGTGAAGAGCGGATATGGATACAAAAGTCATCAGATAAGATTATGAGCCAGTCAAAGACTGTTCAGGGTATAGAGCTGTCAAAAGGCAGGAACTTATTCTAGGCCAAGGTCCAGACATGGCAGTTTCACAGTGTCATTTTGGAGTATGACATGTGAGGTTATCACCAGCAGGAGAAAAGCCATGCTCTGCTAAAGCCCAAGGACAGAGATTCAGAAGTTCTTCTGTGAGGTTTTTCCCAAACAAGACTCCTGACAAGTGACCAGGTGAAGGGGTCAGGGTGCTGCCATATTCAGTCTTCAGGTGCTCCTCCTTTTATAAGCCTTGAGTGCTTCATTCAGTGTTTTGGTGTGTTTGATAACCTCATGGGCCTGATTTTTCCTATATGGGTTTGATAAGCCCATGAATCCATGCATTTCTGATTAATTTGATAAGTTCACAGGTGGTCATTTTTATTGTCACAATTTATCAGTTTGTGATTTATGGTTATGCCAGATGGTAGTTGTTTACTTGTACAAAGTGTAGAATTATTTCACCTCAAAATTAAACTCAAGGGCTGGGGATGTGGCTCAAGCGGTATCGCACTCGCCTGGCATGCGTGTGGCCTGGGTTCGATCCTCAGCGCCACATACAAATAAAGATGTTGTGTCTGCAGAAAACTAAAAAATAAATATTAAAATTCTCTAAAAAAAAATTAAACTCAAAATGGAGTAACTTATGGCAAACTACTGCTTTACAAAATTAAGTAACTCAGGTTTAGGCACAGTCTGAGAACTACTATTCTACACATCATAAAGTATTAACTATAAATAACAATAAATACATCATAGAGTATTAACATTAACTCTTACCAAGAGTAATCTGTGTCTCTCCAAAAACAATGAAAAAGAATGACAGATTTTCAGTTGAAATACAGACAACTACACACGTTTTTGGTCAGGTACTAAATGTACACTTGCCCTATTCTGTTTTACTCATACCTAACTCTGTACCTGGAGTATGTCCTGTTTCTTTCCTACTCTTAATGCCTACTCTTAAGTTTAACTAGCCTGTTTTTTATTCAAATAATTCTTAGAATCCCACTGTCTCCAAAGTTTCCCCCAGTAAACTAAGTGTTACTTAAATTTGGTGAAAATACTTAATTTACATGAATAATCATGATTTCCCCCATGTCTTGTTTTCCCTATAGACTTTTTACTTACTTGTTAGGGCATATACCCTGATAATTGGTTAGGTCACATAAAGCCCCACCAAGCCTCAACATGCATGCCATTATTTCCCTCATCCATATTCTTTCTATAATATACAAACCTCACTACACACAGAGAACTATTTTGACATTTGCTCTACTTCCTGTATGTCTTTTGGATCTGGGACAGAAATATATAGCATACCCAAGAGACCTGAGAGGAAGGGGACCAGACTAGGATAGAGAGGGAAAGGATAGGGAAGGGGAAGGTGAGACTGAAGGCTAGAAGTAACCCATTTTTGTCACAGGACAGGAGAATGACAGCTGGCAGATAGCTGAGTATACAATATAAACAAGATAGCCAGGATTGAAATACAAAATGAAAAAAAAAAAATGCTAAATGGTATTTCCTCAATATATATTTGCAGAGTGAATGTTGAAAACAGTCTTTTACTGAACCAGTTTTTTTCATTTAATGTACTTTGCAAAATGGATTCTTTTTAAGTTATAAAAAAGTGTAAGAATAAATGTGATGGACATTATTATCCAAAGAACATGTATGAAAATATGAATTCGTGTGAATATACTTTGTATACAACCAGAGATATGAAAAATTGTGCTCTATATGTGTAATAAGAATTGTAATGCATTCTGCTGTTATATATAAATTTAAACATTAATTTTAAAAAGTGTAAGAATAAATCATGTTGCAGAAGATCTAATGACTGTCTAAAATCTCTTACAACTCTGCTTTTATTTTTGTGTTTTAAAAAGAGCCTAGGGGGCTGGGGATGTGGTTCAAGTGGTAGCGTGCTCCCCTAGCATGCATGAGGCACTGGGTTCGATTCTCAACCCCACATAAAAAAAAAAACAAAAATAAAGATATTGTGTCCACCTAAAATTAAAAAAAAATTATGAATAATAATAATAATAATAATAAAAGAGCCTAGGAATTTTAAAGTATGGTAC